CTGCCTGGCATAAGCTCGAGCTCTCCCATGACCTGAAACTGGATGGATGGATTTTATATCACAATATTTACCATAAACCACCAGAAAAGAATTTCAAACTAGTGTAAAATAATTAAATGATTGGGCCTTAAATTATAGGCTAGATGAGGGCAGTTCAATAACATTGACAGAATCACTCCTCCTAACTAAACTCCACCTTCAGAGCGAGCAAATGAAATAACAAAGCAACTCTTTCATTTCTGTGTCTTTAAAAGTTCTATTTTTATGTGAAGTTTAACCTTGCAGGACCAACTTTATAACTCCCCGAGTTAATTTTGTGCAACCACAGTGTGGATTAAAGAACCAGTTCAGTTGAGAACTGGTTCCAAATTGTCCTCAGAGCTCAATTTATTTATTTTTGTCAATGTGGGCATGTTTTTCTGACAGTTGTGCATTTCATAACAATGACGTCAAACTCGAGCCAGCGGAGCTTTTTGGACACCTGAGTCTCATGCGAGCCTTTTATTCTGCTCTTTTTTTAGCGTTCATACTCAGAGATCATACAACATGTGTAGGCTGCAGGAAGCAGATCAGGGATCATTAAGAGATTCGATATCGAGAGCATGACCCATGGATAGAGTGAATAATGACATTAATATCTTAATAATGTCTGTCAAACAAAATGACTCGGGCTATAGACCCCCTTTTTTCTCCTAATCCTCAGAGGTCCTGACATGAACCGAGTGATAATTCTTCTGCTCTAATTTAACCTTGTGAGGTCTCCCTATGTGACCCTATGTTATCTGAATTTCCATATTGATGCTTTATTTTAAAATATACTCCAAAGTCTCAGTTAGATTTTGTTGAATCTATTCTTCATGCTTCAGTCTTGAGCCACTCCTTATTTCTCCAGGCTTCCTGAAGGTCCAACGTTTGTCTTTGGACATTGGCTCCTTTTTCACTCAGAAGAATATTTTTTTGTGTTATTGTTTCGTAAGCCATTTAATGCTGACCTATGAATCATTCAAGCATAAAAAAGACAACTAACTTAAGGGATGAACCAGTGTTGAGTTTATGGTATCTTTAGGTGTTTTGTTACTTAGTGTTTCTTTAGTTGAATCTCTGAAAAATGCCAAAAGTAACAGTTTGACAGACATAAAATTCTATTTTTGCACCAAGAAGATGATTTCCAAACGGTGGCATATCTCAGCATGCTGTGCGGTTTGTTCTTAAAACTTTTGAAGAAGCTGGACAAGTGGAAGACAAAAGAAGAAGTGGCAGGGCTAAAAAGCTATGAATAGCGGAGGTTAAATAGCATCACCTTATTTTTACATCGCTTGAAAGCCGGAAATGTCATGATCCAAATGGTGTAACTATTTTATAATAGCAATATTGCAGCAGCTGCACAAATTCCTCATTTTCTTAAAAGAGTGTTTCAGTTTTTCTGATGTCATTTGACAACTCTCATGTCACATACACACAGTTTTCCAAGCTTTTAGTTAAAAAAGAGACTGGATGGTCTCTGGTGTAGCTCACTGGGTTGACTACGTGACCCACTGCCATAAGACTAATGCAGAGGCTATTTAATGTCTGTCTTCTCTGTACTATCCTGTTGCAATGACTGAAAAATCCCAACAAGTGCCCAACTTTAAAAGTGTTGCTTAAAAACTTATGTATGAGTATTTTGTACATGCATGAGTTTTCCTGTCCAAGCCTCTTTGCCACAACAGTACAGCACACACAGAATACTCCACTGTACACAATGCTTTGTTGGGAAACTAAGTTAAATCTCCAACCTGAGCTAAAAGTGCCGTCTTAAAAGGGCTGTCAGGATACGAAGTGAGTTTGGGTGATGGCTCTCAATCTCACTTCGCAGTATGGCTTCCTCGTGGCTGCCGGGGAGCTCCTCAGCACCCACGGAGCTGAATTACAACCTGAATTCGGTGTTACACACTTGCTCTGCACTGGATGAGTTACTGTGACAAAGCGTAGTTTGCTGTTGGCAGCGTAGGCGGTGACACGTTTTCCCTCAGCTGCACCCGAAGCTGCACGGATTCACGCTGAGCCTGTTTATTAGCGGTGGTGAATCTGCGCACTAGGCTTTAAACAATGGCAGAGTAGGAGGTCTATTGTTTATGATATTATTTGCATGCGTGCCTTGTTTGTGTAGCTGCCACTCACACTGTCCACACTAAGTTGGTTTAATTTGTAAATGCATCTGTAAGCACTCCTTCCAGACATTTTCCTTTTTCACAAAAGCAGCTTCAACTGAGAGAATGTAAAGAGCGGACAACCTGTAGACTTCGACGTGATCTTTGAGAGGCTCGATAAAGAGCCTGCCTTGTATTACTGTGACTAAACTGGATGTAGCGTTTTGTTGTGTTTCATTTCTGCCGCATCTAATTTGGTAGAGTTGCAGTTGAGAATTTATAGAACAGCCTCAGTGTTTACTGACTCATCGAGTATGGCTGTTACTTACTGAACCTCTCTGGCCTCGTGTTGGCAATCTGTCTGCATTTATAAATTCAACAACAATTATTTGCAACTTTTTTACTGTCAGCAGAAGTCAAACCCGAGTTGTTCAGAGACAGGTTGTCTTCCACTCAGTGATGTGCACAATCACCCTGAATGTGATTGCACAGGTTGAGGTTGAGCGTTGGTGCACGCTTGACCTTTGGGTGTCCAGTTAGATCACCATAGCTACTTTCAGTCTGTCTCTGAGCGTGAAAAATTCAGTGCAACCACCGATTTAGTCTGAAGGATGACTCTGTCCTATTTTCACTGTAGTGTGACTGAGACATTTGTCTTTTTTTGTTAGTCCTCTGTAGTGTGTAAGTTCTAGTTTAGCGTTTTGGAGTCTGATATTTGAGTTAGGTCTTTGTATTTGGTTTATTATTATACCTGCCACAGTTTCCCATGTTCAGTGAGTTTCCTTAGTTTAGTTCTCTTCTTATTACCTGTTTCATTTTGTCAGGTGTTTTGTGACTGATTTGACAATGAGGACATTGAGTGTCCTCAGTGTCTCCACCTGTGACTCATTTCCCCAGCTCCCTCCACTTTGATCATTACCATGTGGTTAAATAGTCCAGTCCTTCACTTCAGTGTTTATCAAAGCATCTGTGTTACCTTCCTACTCTGGATTTTTCTGTTTATTTCCCTTGTGGACTTAACCTAATAAAAGGTGCATTTTTGTTACTTCTGCCTGCTCTTTGGGTCTTGCATTCAACAAACTGTGAGACAAGCTCAGACATCAGACTGCTTTCTTCTATTGGCTCTATATGATGTTTTCTGGGGATATCCCTAATATGGTCACATCAATGCACAAATGCACTTGCTGCCTCTATTTGCGAGCAACGTGTGATTAAAGGGAGAAGAGCTAAAGCCCCAAAGCCCAGTAATAGAAATAAAGATTATTTTAAACCATGAATCATGCAAAGCTACTATAGTAGAGGCCAATAAAGAAAACATGCAGTTGGGATGTCCATTTAAGGGTAAGATTTATGACAGAAGCTGTACATTTAAATTCAGTTTGTGGGTTTTAATCGGGGCAGCATAGCAGCTCAAGAACAAGTGTTGATTAATGTGTTGTTTAGTACAATCTGTAGTAGTCTGGGAAGTGAGACGGAAGAAAATATGCATTACAAAAATGTCGATTTGCATTAATTTAATTTGTTGTTAGTTTCTTTGTGGGCAGAGGTCAACGGAAATACGATCAGGAACGCTAATTTCCACACACAAATGGTTTCATTGTTATTGCAGATGGCGCCGTGGAATTAAATTTAAATTGCTAATCTAACCAAAGCAGTAAAAAGTATGACTTCAGCACTGATGTACGCACAGCAGTGAAAGCCATTTAACGTTGGGAATAACAATATACTATTGCTTAGTTGTAATTGTTTTCCATAATGAATCTGAGCTGAGTGACGTGTTTTCCAAAGCTACTTCTGAATCGTATTATTCGGGTGGCATTTTCATTAAAAGCCCCACTCTTGACAGTGTGGATAATTCATGTCCAAATGAAAAAAATAATTAACCCTCTGTGCCAACCAAGCCAGAGGAGCTTTCTTCTTTTTACCATAATTGTTCGATTGTTTATGCTTTCGAACTAATTCAGACATCTCCGTGAAAATAGCCCACCACTGCTCCACGTCAAGTACAATTTGTTATGGTGATGATGTTGTTTTGGGCGAGTCGTAGCAGCTCCAGGAAACTGAAGGGGGGAAGGGTTGAACAACTGGAGATGGCTGATTGGTGAAAAACCCAGTGTGAAAAAATGACTTGTGCAGGCTCATATTATCTTGTTTTCACCGTAATTAGACAGATCTAATATATTTAAAATTTAAGTTCCAATTACAAACGTAAACAACTATAAAATATTTGTTATTTTATATGTGTGTTTTCTGAAAAGAAAAAACAAATACATCTCAAATTATTTATGCTCAAAATGCTGACTTTAAGTAATTTGTTTACATGTAAATTTCCTGCGTGATTTTGTTACACTTACACTGTGAAACATTGAAGTTAATGCAACCTGGTCAAATAAATTTCTTGATTGGAATGCATTCAGTTTATAACCAGCATATTTTCCTTAATTAATGATTGTTTGGAAAAAAATAAACATTTGATTTGATATATTTTAGTTTATGTAGCTGTAGACTAATGACATGTGATTGACAAGTTGTTAGCCATCCAGACCATCTAGACCATCCAGTCTGAGCATGTGGTTTGATAGTCATAGTTGCAGTTCACTTATCACATGTGGTTACAAAACACCAAGGTGGTATGCTCTTTTACGCTCCAAATGTGGATTTGTTTTTATACTTCCTTGTCTGTCAAATATTATTCTCTAAAACACCACACTGCATCTAAAGTAAAATAACGCCAAATGAGGTACCCATCGTATTGATTGTATTGAAATATTAATAAGTTAGATCCTGAACAACCGTCTAGATGTGTCACCATCATCTTAGAGTTCCTGCACTTGCTAACTCATGATCACTGCTGTGTTCTTCCTCTTGCAGGCTTGAATCCACCGAGAAACCCCATGGAGCAGGATGTGGAGAGCCCAGTAATCAGAAAGCCCAAGTTGCCAAAGCAGGCCAGGGAGGACCTGCCTAAACACCTGGCAGAAATCGACCGGGTGAAAAAGATTCAGCGGTATGTCCAGAAAGATGGGAAGTGCAACGTCCATCACGGAAACGTCCGAGAGACATACCGCTATCTGACAGACATTTTTACCACACTGGTAGATCTCAAGTGGAGGTTTAACCTCTTCATCTTTGTGTTGGTGTACACGGTGACATGGCTCTTCTTTGGCTTCATGTGGTGGCTTATTGCCTACCTCCGGGGTGATCTGGACCATATAGCAGACAACCAGTGGACTCCGTGTGTCAATAACCTCAACGGGTTTGTATCAGCGTTTCTGTTCTCCATTGAAACAGAGACCACCATTGGTTATGGATACAGAGTGATCACGGACAAATGCCCCGAGGGAATAGTGCTGCTTTTAGTTCAGTCAGTGCTGGGATCTATCGTGAATGCCTTCATGGTGGGTTGCATGTTTGTTAAGATCTCACAGCCCAAGAAACGGGCTGAGACACTAGTGTTTTCCACCAATGCGGTCATCTCCATGAGAGATGGTCGGCTGTGCCTGATGTTCAGAGTTGGAGACCTCCGAAACTCGCACATCGTCGAGGCTTCAATCAGGGCCAAGCTTATCAAGTCTAAGCAGACCAAGGAGGGGGAGTTCATCCCTTTGAACCAGACAGATATAAACGTGGGTTACAACACAGGAGATGACAGGCTCTTCCTGGTATCGCCACTCATCATCTGCCATGAGATCAATCAAAACAGCCCCTTCTGGGATATCTCACAGGCCCACCTGTCCAAGGAGGAGCTGGAAATTGTTGTGATCCTCGAGGGGATGGTGGAGGCCACAGGTGAGTCATCAGATTCAAAATCTCAGAGGTTAAGGTGTACAGTAATTGCTGTTTATTGGATCTAATGTCACACAATGACTTTCTAATGCTTTATTTATTGCAGAGAACTGCTTCACCATATCTCTGGAGTAGTGCTCAGTTAATTTTGTAATTTTAACAAAATGATTACAAACATGTTTTCAGTGCTCAGCCTGACCAATGCCACCAGCTGTGCTGGATTTCAGTATGTATGTTTGAATAATAATTGTTAAAATACTTAAATCTGCCATTAGAATTTCAGCTTTTTTCTGATAATAGTGAACTGGCTGCCATTACGCTGGATCTGCCATTAAAGGCACATCTTGAGAGAACACCAGTGTATCTGGCCACAACTTCTCATATATCTCAGAATGTTATCAAAAAAACATCTCTTCAAGTTTATTTGGATTTACTGTATTGTTGCTGGATTTGTAATACATAGAAGGCAGTGGACTTCAGTACAAAAGCTCACCTGTAGTCAGAGCTTGCTGACCTACAATGAACCACATCTTACCTTAAGACACTGGAGGGGAATCAAATACTGCTTTGCACTCTGCAGCTTTAATGCACTACAATGTCCTTTGAAATACATTCATTTTTAAGTCACTGTAACATTTTTAAGTTTCACTGACTCTTCTTCTGGCACAACCGTAAGGAATCTTATTTTGAAGGGATTTCCACTGAAAGTTGGTGCACACGTCTCCCACAGGGTCAATCTGGGAACCCATCAGTAAGCCTGACGACAGCCTCAGATAACTTTAGGGTGGCAGGAGATAACTGGGACAAGACTTCCTGTTCCACATGCCACTTGTCATTTACTAATGCGGATAACTCTTTTATAAAGCCAGTAAAATGCTAAAGAGTAGACAGGGGATAGTCAGTGGTTTCAAGATCGCTTTTCAGAGGTATTTAGCCATCTTTTGGTCTCCATGTGGTCTGCTTTTATGTGGTGCACAAAAATTAGTTTTTGCAACATTGTTTAAGGTTTAATTAACCTCATCACACCACATATGCAAACAGGAGGTGCAACACAATTTTGTATATGTCCAGCATTAGTGTTTTTTCTCATATTATATCAGAGCAGTATGTGTCACGTGATAAAGCAAGTGTGTAAGTTCATCCCTGAATGTGTGCATAGTATTTCCACGTTAAGCTTAACAACTGATATATTAAGCCACAGCTGGACTGGCCATCGAGTTCCATATTGAGGTGAAAAGGAAGCGATTTGTCCCGTACTTCAGCTAGAATTAAAAATAGACACAAAGCTGGAGTTATTCTGTCTTTGCTGCGCAGTTGCATCTACTTCTCTCATTCACTCCCCCTTCCTCTCCTGTTATTACTTCAAACATGAAACTGATCAATGATCAGCTGATCGGCTTTTCTGCCGCAAGTCCCGTCTGTCTTGATTGTTTATCGCCCACTTTGCGCTAGAAAGAGGAAACCAGCGGATAAACAACACCAGCACGTTTAAGCGTGATAAGCTGTTGTTAGAATGTATTTAATATTACTTTCTAGTATAAGCTGAGGTTTGCTGGAGCCACAGCTGTAAAAGCTGCTGGTCATGATATCCGTTTGGATATGTAGCGAGAGTGAAACATGAAGATGAAACCAGGAGATGTCCTTACTGAACGGGTGAGTTAAAGGAAAGTTATGAACTGTTTCCGAGAGACAAATAACACCAGGATCCTTTTTTACGCAGCTGACGGCTGGTAACTGTGCAGGGGCGGGTCTAGCAAAGTTTTGCCAGAGGGGCCAGGTTGGGCATTAACAGGGAAAGGGGGGCACAAAGAAATACTTTTCTTTGTTATGTCATTTAAAAACTTTGAATAAATAATTATCTGAATCTTACAACAAAAGTGGTCATCTGATTAAATGTATAGAAATCCATTATTGTATATAGTAAGTAATAAGTCTAATATATACCCTAGTAAGATATAGTACTTTTTCCTTTGGGAAGGTACCATCTGTGCAGTCTGCAATTCTGTTGAAGAAAGATGTTGAATCTATTTAATTATTGTAGAAAAAGAATTGATTTCTGTGCATTTGTCTTACACTTGCATTAAATTAAAGTTGATTACATCGATTAAGCATCATGAGGTGGAGGGCGGGGGGTGGTTCCCTAATATTTTTGCTGGGAGTTGGCAACCCTATTAGATAGGTTGCTTAATATTTCCACTAAGTACTCTTTAAAATACCAGAATAGGGGGGATGGTGTAGGTTTAAAGTTATTATTTTATAGTTCAGTGTTGCTGAACTATAAAATGTTTTGGGTGCAGTGTATTTTTTGCATACAGGTATGACAGAATAGCTTCAGTCTCTTGTTTTTTAAAACTTGATTATGAACTTTTACAAAATGCAGCAAGATATTTATAAAAAAAAACAGTTTTATTGATTACAAAATATCGGATTCATCTCGGTATCGGCAGATATCCAAACTTATGATATCGGAATTGGTATCGGACATTAAAAAGTGGTATCGTGCCACCTCTACTTTAAAATGTGTCCCAATTTTCCTTTCAGTCATGCCGCAGCAGTCAACACAATTGATGTAGCTCTTTTTAATTACGCTATGTTTTCAATTCAGACACACATCATCATCGTCTATCTTAAAGAAGGCCCCCGGGATGAGGAAACGCTAACAGAGATGTATATAAAGACAGATGTAAAGCGTTAGAGTTAGATTTAAAAAGATGAGGGCCTGTGCAGAGCACAGCTGCACAGCCGAGAGCAGGATGACCAAAACATCTGGATGGGCAGTAGGAGACGTGAGGGAGATACCAACGATTTGCGTCACCATCCCAAAAATCACTCGATTTTCACATCATCATGTTAGATGAGATGGTTGCTGAAATGCCTGAATTCTGAACTGGTATTCGATCATTTGTCTCACTCTCAGACTCAATGAAACAAAAAGAACCAATTACATAATCGTTGCGTGACGTGTTTTGAAACAGCTGCTGGAGGCTCACTGAGGACTCTGTTTCCTGCAGACAGCTGAGCCAAAGAGCTCACTGATGAATATGAAAACACAAGTAAACGCTGCTGGAAAGTGATTAGGACCCACTCCTGGTTACAGTTAACTAACCATAGAGGAAGTGTGTTTAAATCACCTGCAGTAACGATGCTGTAAAGATTACAACAACACGCCTGTACATCCAGGGGAACGTTGAGGGATAAGCCTCATTTAAATCCAACTCTACCTGCTAGTACCATCGTTAGCACAGCTCAAGCAGGAGAAAATAAATGCCACCAATGCCCATTTTTCAGAAATCATTCTTCTGCCCAACAAAGCGGGAAACTGGAATATGCTGTCACTTCTTGCTTCGATTTTTCAAAGATAGGTGCAAATGTAAGGTGAAAGGGACAGGAGCTTTGAAAATAACAGAAAGTTAGTTACTGTAGTTGTAATGCAGAGGGAATTATAGCACTTAAAATGCACTTGATCGCAGCAATTCAAAGGGAAGCAAATGGGTTGTTTGTGGAAGATAAAATGTGTGAGCAGCATCTGGCAGATGGGGATGGTGACGCAGGGTGATGACAGGAGCCTCAGGGAGGCTTCAGGATAAATCTACTATTGCTTCTGAGCTGTGAAGACCCCCACGGGACCCTGGGAGTGATGACAGTGGACAGAGGGAGGGAAGGGAAAAAAATCACACCTTTTCCCTGAGTAATTTACACTTTCCGAGGATATCATTATTCCTGCTGTTTATCGCAAATAACCTGCCATAAATCTGCTGAGTGTTTATAGAAAAAAGATGCTCCTTATAGCTGCCGACGTTGCCTGAGAACTGTCACATTTTTTAAATCTGTCTAAATAATCCAGTTATTTGTGATAGTTGCTGTTACAGCAAACTAAATGGTGCCAATTTGTAAAACTGTAAAACAAAACAACAACAAAAAAACCATATATATATATAAATCTACTTGGTTAACCTCTATAAGAGCAAGTGTTCTGGCAGTTTACTGGTGTGAAACATCCAGATCTTTTCAGGAGTGACCATACCAGCAGATTCACCCAAGGTCAGACGATGCAGTGCTCAGAGAAACTGCAAAAACCCCAAGAGCTCCATCTTGGCCTCTACAGGTCTCAGTCAGCACGTTCAGTGTTAAAGTTCGTGACAGTACGATTGGGAAAAACTGAACAACAAATAGCTGGTTTGGATGGGTTACCAGGAGGAACCCTCTTCTCTCTAAAAGAACATGGCAGCACAGCTTAGGTTTGCAAAACCGCAACTGAACAGCCCTTTGGACAGATGACACCACATGTCAGCACAAACACTCAAACCAAATATGAAGCATGGTGGTGGAGGGATGATTAAGGTCACTGCGTCTGTATAAATATTCTAGAACAACCTGTCCAACAGCTAAAAATTGGCAGGAATTGGGTCGTACAAAAGGACAATGACACCAGTCCATACGCTCTATACCTCGTACTGACAGTTCTCTGATGGGGTGTGCTATTTAAGCTGCTTTAGCGTACATAAAGTTGATGCTGCCTCTGCAAGCTGCTTTGCAACCCACCTCCACCAATGCGTTTAATGCTAGATTTTCTGTGTCTGTTGCTGCTCTTTGGAGCCTTACAGCCAAAGATAAATTACTGCAATAGACTAGGACTCCCATTTTGGCTAAAGATTGCTAAGACTACACGAGTCCCACAGTTTCTAATGGTTTTCTTTGTTTTGTCTCTCCAGGTATGACCTGCCAGGCAAGGAGCTCCTACGTCAGCAGTGAGATCAAGTGGGGCTACCGCTTCACGCCCGTCCTGACGCTGGAGGACGGCTTCTACGAGGTGGACTACAACAGCTTCCACGACATCTACGAAACTGACACACCCACCTGCAGTGCCAAAGAGCTCGCTGATATGGCCAACCGCGCCCGCTTGCCCCTAACTTGGTCGCTGGCTAGCAAGCTGAGCCAGCAGGGGCTGCCAGAGTCTGAACAGGAGGGTCAGGAGACCAAAACCAACCTGGACGAGCAGGGGAAGAGTGAGAAGACCGAGAGGAACGGGGACATTGCCAATTTAGAGAGTGAGTCCAAAGTGTAGCGAGCGTGGCAAGAGGCAAGCGTGAAGTCGAAACGAGATTAATGGACTGTACTGTTGGTCTCCCGCTGAGGAAGGCCACCCATTGAGGACCAATGAGCACAGTAGACCAAGTACCCCTGCACCACGAACTGCTTTTTTCTCAGTGATTTACATTTACCCCAAAAACGAGAAAACACGTAGACATGTGGCCCACCGCTGGAGTGAAAACCCCCTGCGGCAAGTGCATGTTTCAAATATAATGTGATGTCCTCCTGACAAGATTCCTATTATTTTTTCTATTAAGATATTCCTAGGGGCATTTGCTAAGTATTTTTGTATATATTACAAAATGTTTTAAATTCTTTGTTTTGTTGCAGTATTTGACACATGTTTGATACTACTTCCTTTAGGTTAGTTCTGTATATATTCTCTGCCTTACTGTATGTATAAAGCTTTCATTATTTGTTTTTCAGGAATATATAAGCATGTATAAACATTAACTGCAGTTGATTTATCTTGTATTCTGTATATACTGTATGATGATATTATTATTATTATTATTATTATTATTATTGTTATAAGGAACACATACAGTTCAATGGATGCAAACTCTAGTTTAAACCAATGAAAGATTCTTCCCCAATGATAAGTGTTCGTTTAAAGTAGTACGACACGAAGCCATGACTTGCTGTTTACAGCTAACTGACTTCAGACAATGGCCCTTTAAAAACTGCATTTTGTCACTTTTGCACACTGGAGTCTTCTGATGAAGGTTAGTGACTGTTTGAGTCTCCAGAAATAACTCACCTGTCACCTAAAAGTATCAATAAATAAACAGTAAGTTGCTTATTATGAACTTGGTGAGATGTTGTTTTTGTAACACTTTTACTCAAATCCAGAATCTACTGACGTACTTTCAGGACACCTTTTTGTTTTTTGTCTGCTTTTCCTATAAGTTTACAAATTCTGAAATTTGCACTTAAAATTGCATACAGTGGTCCCTCGCTATCCGGTTGTTCAGTGATGACGCCACGAATCCTACTTCCGGGCCTAAAGTAGTCTGCGTTTAATATGGCTTTTGTGTTGTTAACATGTTTAATGTTATGTATTTTCTTCTATTTGATCTCAAAAAGCTCCTAAAACAGTCAGTGATCACTGTTGACCTCCCTCGGCTTTTATTACCGCTAATCATTTATTTAAGCTCAGTTTTTAAAACCTTAGGATGTAACTACAGCCCAGCCCATGCAGCAGTATATGAATGACTAACCTCGTATTGTGGATGGATTATCTCAGTTGTTCTCCTGGCTGAAGTTTGGTCCTTTTACAGCATCCTGCCATGCGATTACATTTGTTCCTGACCACCGAGAACACTCACGGTAACTTTTATCGAGTGGAAAAAAAAAGTTAGCTTGTTTATATTATGCTAACATAGCTGTGTCGCTAGCGGTCACGTAGCACATCATTATATACCAGCTAGCCCAACTTCAGTAACCCTACTGTACAAACGTCACTGCTATTTAGTTTTCTGTCTTCATTTATGCTGGAAGTGATAGCAGAGCTGTACGTTTTAATTTGTTTCCAAAACCCCGCAGTCAGGACATGCTATATTGTATTTAGATAGAAGCTAGCGAGCTAACTCCCTGCTAACTTCTAACTCCGTTAAATGTCATAAATTCCGTTTTCATGGATGCCTGGATGTTAAACTCAATTGTTACACCTGGTAGAGCAGAACGCTGATCATTTTATTAAAGATGAAAGACTTTAGACAGTTTTTCAACTCTCAGTAATGCCATAGTGATCGTTTGATATATGGACGTGCAGCGGAGTTTAGGTCCAGACACGGCTAGTGACGTCAGACTTAACGACCGGATAACGCGCCTTGCTGATTTTTATTGTGCAATTTTGCTTGATTTCTTTTTTTTTTTCCACAGCGCATCGTGTTCTGCGTCCTGATTGCCTGTAGCCCATTGTCCAATCTCCTCCATGCAGTGTCTCCTGTACGGTACAGAATGCGTTCAGCTTGTCAAATTTATATAAATCTTCGATCGCTAGCAGTGTGACTCTGAAGTGCTGTACTGTATGTTTGTAAGTCCCCCCCCCCCTCAACAAACACAACAATGTCGATGAAACGTTTTGCACCGTTAAAGGCACTTCCGGTGGCACCCAAAAGGCAGAGGAAGATGCTACCCATCGCACAAAAAAGTTGGACTTCTGGATATGCTAAAGGAAGGTAGAAGTTACTGTATTTTTCGGACCATAAGGATAAGTCAAACTTTACTCAACTCATTCTTCTTGCTTCCTCTACTTCCGTACCATTGATTCATTAATGTTGCTCTATTCGCATGTTCTGGACCTGAAAACAGGGTTTGATCTTTGGTTTAATTCTATAATACTGGACTTACTTTTCTACGAAGGGTTGAACTTTGAGAGTGTTTAAACAAGAGAGAAAAGTATGAAAATATTCATGCCTGTCTGAGAAAAGTGTATAAAGTGTGCAGTGGGGGGTTTTACAGCCTTAAAACATCTATAATAATTGTAAAAAATAAAGCTGGCTACAAATTTCACCTATCGCGGGTTATTTTTAGAACGTAACTCCAATAACAGGGACCACTGTAACTCATAAAATGTTTTTGTTTCTTATGAATTAAAATCAAGCAGCAACTTTATAGACTACCATATAAAAAGCAAACATGGGTCCTCGCCAATCAGATCCACGTCACATTTGTGACTCTGTCCTTCCAAAACACAGATGGTTACAAACAAAATGGTGAAGTCTTCCACAAACCACTGGTTGACATCGCAAGTAGCCAATGTCCATCAATGTAGCGCATCAGTCCACAGACTGCTTTTTTTGCACACCCACATAGGTGGACAAGTTTCGGTGTGAGTTTGTTAACCCACAACCAAAGCCTGCATCATTGTAACGTGTCCTTTTTATCTCATAAATATGTTTCCAAAAAATAAAGCTCTTATTAATTTACTATGATAATCTAATGCTTAGCACAAACAAAAGTGAGGTATCAACATAAGTAACGATTATCTTCATTTATTTTCTTGGTTAATCTTTGTTAGTTTGTAACTTGACAGAAGATGAAATATGAATGTCCCTGTCACAGCACTTCAAAAGTGTGTAAACAGTACATCAAAATTAGTTGATTTTAGTACTTTCAGGCTTTTAAATCTGAGATCAAACTGGCAAAAGTAGAGGCTGGAGTCTTTTGTGCAAAAGTTAGCAAGCAACACAGTGGCAGGTGTAACTCGCTGCCCAGGTGTTTCCTTTTGAATCAGTTCTTCACAGCAGGTGAGAGCAGTGGGCGTCCAGCCTTCATTTCATTATTTCACATCTTTTCATCTTGCATCAGTTGGAGCCAGAAGGCTGCATGAAGACCAAAGAGCTGAACATGACAGAAAAACAACTTATCTGTAAGAAGAGGAAACAAAAAGTAAAGGATTGACATCAAGCTCAGAAAACAGAAAAGAAACTAGTGATGGACTTCAAAATAAACTGTATCCTCCAAGCTTTGAAGAATAACCACAAAACAAGTGTGACATTGACGGGGAGATTTTATAATGAAAAAGTTTGTGTTGTGCACCCAAAATTGGCCTTGAAGCAAAGTTATGAGACAGATGAGAGCATAAATGCAACCTTTGCCAAAGTCAGGGAAAGCCAACAGTGTGAAGAAAACCACAAAGTGCCCTTGACTCAAATCATTCCCGCTCCTCAGCGAAGCACACAGCAGCAAAAACCGTCATCCTCGACAGACTCGGATAATTCATTCTCACTGACAGAGGAACAGATGACAGCAGGGGGGAGCAGCAGGTGTTGTTTAGAAGTGTAAAGATTATTTTGGCAGGACCTTCATCCTGCAACAAGACAGTGACACCCACCCCCCAGCCACACCGAGGTGCAACCAAAGCTTTTATCAGCCTCAGTCTTAAATAAAGTGTCCACTTCAGGCTCCAGATTTAAACCCTACTGAACATTTTCTCTGCAGCAAAGGAGAGAGAAGGTAAACATCACTAGAAGGTGTTCTAAAACTTTTCCTTCTTTTGACATACATCTGTTCACTTGCACATGTGGAAAAGCTGACTTTGACCACAAACTGGCAACAAAACATAAGATTCGACTGTCCCGAGACAGTAAAATAATTTGTAGATGTACATTTAGGTAATTTAGGTAAATGCTTTTGATTTTGCAATATTAAAGTAAAAATAATGAGAAATGTAATTTTACTTTGAATTCAGATTTTAGGTTCATATTTCATGGTTAAATTAACCGTTTAGTTTCTGTTTACTGCAGCTCTAATTCTCACCACGACTACAAAAAAAGCACTGAGTTGCTGCCATGTGATTGGCTGATTAGATATTTGCATTAAGGAGCAGATAAGGAGGTGTACAGTGTATTTCTGCTCCTGTTCACAGACTAGATAAAGTCTGGTGTGTTAAAATCATTGTTGTTGTTTTCCTAATAACCTTTTTAGTGTGTAAAGTTATTCCTTTTACCTGATGATGGACAGCCTGTTTTTTAACCACACATACTGACACTGGCAGCTCGTTACCTGCAGTATGACCCATAATTAAAAGAGAATTTTATTTGTTTTTTTACTGTGTGAATTTTCTGGCGTTTAACGGTTCATCTAGCAGAGGCCACAGAAACAGAGACTGTTGTGGAGGGCTGCACCCATGAAGAAATATGAAGAGATAAAATTACTATTGAGCAGAACTGTGTTCAGCTCCACTGGAAAAACTAAATAACCAGCATTGTTATTTTATGCATTGCTAATACTAGGAACAAAAACTTAAACCCTGATCTCTGATACATGAGACCTCTGTAAAGGAAATTGCTGATAAATCTGAAACTGCACAAAAATAGCTGGATTTGGCCAAAATGATACAATTTTAAATTGATGTTTCTTTTGTTTTTAAATTGCCAAATTGTTCAATAAACACTCCAGATTTAACCATTAAATGATTACTTTTTGTAATCATTTAATGGTTCAGTCTTGACAGGGTTAATGCTTTTAACATTTTTGTGTACACGCCATCGGTGAGGTCTTTGTCAGTATGGTGGCTGTAAAACTATCCATCCATCCATCTATTCGCTTCCGCTTATCCTTTTCAGGGTCCCGGGGGGCGCTGGAGCCCATCCCAGCTGTCATAGGGCGAGAGGCAGGGTACACCCTGGACAGGTCGCCGGTCTGTCGCAGGGCGGCTGTAAAACTAACAATGATTTAAACCTCTGGCTCAGAATTCATTAACAATTTCAGCTGTTTTTATGTCCTATTATTTACAACAAATAACATTAAAAGTCAAAATTTCCTCACCGATTAAATTTTTATTTTTTTCAAAGTCACCCAGTGGGCCGTGCTGGACCCTTTGGTGGGCCTGTCATGGTCCCTGGGCCATATGTTTGACAACCCTGGAATAAGGAACAAGACCAAAACATTTGTTTTTGTTTTCTTTATTCCACTCAGAAAAAAAAAACAAAATAAAAAAAACAAAATAACATCATCCATCACTCCAATATTTATTAACTGTGCTAAATTTTTCATGTGATTCATCTGAAGTTTTCACTTTAATTTACTTAAAACTTTAGTTAAGTATTAGTTAAAGTTAAAGTAGCAGATTTACTTCACAAGTCTGGCTCATCACACATTGTTTTTCAATTTCAATTCAACAGATTTCATTATTTTTCATACACACTCAAAATATTTCAGTTACATCTTAAGGCATAAATCAATTTTTTAAAATCACAAACATATAAAATTTATATGAAATAGCTGGGAACTGTAGCTTAGAGTGAATAGTGAAATCGCATGGGACTAATTTCAGCTGTGGATTAATACACATTTGGCGCTGCTGCTACTGCCTGAACATGTCGCTCCGATATTAGAGCTCTGTGGCACAGAGAAAAAGAAATGTACAGCAAAAACCTTTTCAAGATCAAGCGGTTGTTACTGAGGATTAAACAAGCCACACGTGGCAAATGGAGATGCTTTTTGCAGCTGAGTAAATTTACAGTAATCACACATTTTATAGGCTTTTATACGATCCCTTTGCTTTTATTTCAGCGACTAGCAATGTTATTGGATTTGACAGTACTTAAAAGATCCTCAGTCAATAAATAAACACAGAAACAGGACCAGGAGTGATTTAAAGTGGCAGACACTGGACTGTTTTAACAATATACAGTACACAAAATGAGATTTAAAAAAAAAAAAAAAAAAAAAAAAAATCTAAAATACATTAGTAATAGTATTTTTTATCATGTAACATGCGTATTTTTGCAATGGTTTGTTACTGAGGCCGGTATGTGGTGCAGAAAGCCAGACAAACACTGTAAATCTTTAAAAACAAATAAAAAAAACCACACACAGTACAATATTGAAACATAAATTACACAAAACCTGAAGTGTGTATTCAGGGTAAATTCATGCTTGCAGGATAATTGTAAGCGGTTCTGTGTTAGAAATGCGTAAGACCTGAATTTCTTTTCTCCACAAAATGACAAACGTGAAACTGTCCTCAGACTAAAACATCGATCTGCAGGCCTGCAGATGTTTAAACTTCCACGGCAAAAAAAATTCAAGACTGTGGCAGATAACAATGGCAGCTGAAGGTGTTACAGGGAAACCGTAATTGCACACACACACACACACACACACACACACACACACACACACACACACACACACACACACACACACACACACACACACACACACACACACACACACACACACACACACACACACACACACACAGAGGTTTAACTGCAGTAGTCTGCTTTTTAATTTATTTCTCTTGCGGGATCGCTTTTTAGTGAAATAAAGAGTGAACATGTAAAGAAATGTGGGCAAACAAGCTTATCATTTAGGAGCTTATTTTGTCATTAATAAGAGCAAAATCAAAATCACAGCTGACAATAAGTGATAGTCATCTGAAGCTGGTTGTTGTATTTGCGCACTTAAAATCTATTTTAATTGTTACGTAAATTTAGGTACGTTTATTTCATATCATATCATCATTTAGTACTAACACGAGTATTCTCTTCTCCAGCCTGTCAGCATCATCTGCCTGTAACAGCAGCTGGTGAGTTTAATATGTGCTATATTTTTGCCATTTCTTTCTCATAAATTTGTTTGTTTTTGGTTACATAATTACCTGTTATTTTTCATAAACATTTTTACAGCAAATTTGCTATTTTTTCCTTGCAAACTTGTCCAGTTTTTCTCATGAATTTCTTTCTTAAAACTCTTTTAAAAAATTGTTTTTTATTGACAATTTTTTCCTTGTAATTTGACCATTTATTTATGAGAAATTAGCCATTTCTTTTCCTCATAAGTTTTTAATGCAAACCAGCCTGTTTTTTCTCACCACTTTACAAAGTTTTTTTCCCCTAATAAATTTCCTATTTTCTTCTAAAATGACCCTTGACCACACCTTTTTTGATGAACCTACTAAATTTTGTTTCAAATTTATTTGTTTTTTCTTTGCTTTGTTTTGTCCATTTGGTGTTGAATAAAAGTGAACTGTGCAACATAACTGCAGAAACCTCGACAGCTAAAAGCCAAAACTGAGCTGCCAAATACAGTTCCTGCAGTTCCATAAATGGCCACATGAGGCAGTCTCATAAATGGAGACTGTCAGCATAAACTTCCATGTAAAATGCCCCAAAATACAACTAACTTATACAAAAAGAAATGTTCCATAGCTCATGCATCCCTTGTTAACAGTTGTACGTGGAGTGTGTTTTTATAGTTACAGTTATAATAATAATAATCAAATAAAAGCAGCTTCTCCCTGTAGCTCACCCCTCTCTCTTCCTTTTTCTGACTGAAATGACTTCACTTTAAATTTAAGGTGCAGAGGCTACTGGGAAACTCCCATTTTCAAAGTAAAGTACCTTCATGGCATGCGAAATGCTTCTTCTCCCTTTACTGACTTTACTACCCTGCGAACACCTGGGGGGTCAGCGGCGGCGGCAGGTTGTCGTTGTCTATGTTGTTGGCATCAATGGCAGAAACTGTGCAGGTCAGCGGATATTTTTCCAGGATGTCGTTCACCTCCCGCTGGACGCTCTCGGTCCAGGAGAGCAGGTCAGCCTGGAGGCTCTGAGCGGCCTCCATCACCTTCTCCTGCCGGCTGCTGATGGTCGACAGCTGCTCCAGATTGTGGTTGAGCTGGGCCAGGACAGGGTTGGTGGCAGCCACGCCAGCTCCTGGACCGGTGTGGGGCCACTCGCCCTCTGCGCTGCTGCATCTTGGCGAGGCTTGGCCCGACATGTAACGCTCAAACTCCTCCGGGGAGAGATTGAGAGACTGAGCGTCCAACTTCTCGATGAAGGCAGCTGCACAGCACTAAAAAATAAAAATTTATTAATTAATTAAAAAAAAAAAGAAAACCAACTGAAATCATGGATGATTTTCTGACAGCACGTCAAACTGAGTCACAGAGAGCCAGATGGCCTTATGTTACAAGGGTTAGTCCAACATTTTGGGGAACAAGAGTGCCATGACGTGACAGTTATGCTTCTCTAAAGAGTCACATAAACGTCTCTGCAGGCCTCATTTAAAGCCTGTTAGGATGCAGGTATAAGCACACATGAAAATTAAACCAACTCGGAAATATACTCACCGGCTACAATATCAGATACACCTGTTCAACCACTCGTTAATGCAAATATCTAATCGGCCAATCACATGGTATCAACTCAGTGCATTTAGGCATGTAGTCGACCTGCCAAGCATCATAATAAGGACAAAACATGACATAAGAGAAACTGAACGTGGCATGGTCGTTTGCCCGAATATTTCAGTAACAGATTATCTGCTGGGATTTTCCCACACAGCCAAAGGAAGCGGTCAGTTCTCTGGGAGAAAATGAGGAAGCCAGAGGTCAGGGGAGAATGACCAAACTCCTTTGAGCTGTTAGGAAGGCAACAATAACATAAATAACTACTCATTACGACCAAGATGTGCAGAAGAGCATCTTTAAATTTACAGCACATCACACCTTGAAGCAGATGGGCTACTGCAGCAGAAGACTACACCGGGTGTCGCTCCTATCAGCTAAGAACAGGAAAGTGAGGCTCCAATTCACACAGGCTCACCGAAATTGTACAACAGAAGATTGGAAAAATGTTGCCTGGTCTGATGAATCTCAGTTTCTGCTGTAACACTTGGATTGTTCCTACTATGCCGTGAAGATGCAAGAATGGGATCCTAGCAAAGTATAACTAATAAAGTGGCCTTTGAGTGTGTTTGTTGTTCTGCTTAGCTTAGTGAGGAAGAGCTTGTGTGGCTCTGTCTGAAGGCCATGCGATTGCACCTATCAGTGCCTCTAAAACTGGCAGATAAGAAATAACCTTATATAATGCTTGTTTCTTTAAAAGAAAAAAAAAAAAGCAGATAGAGACATTTAAGCCCTTCAAATCTGAAAAATGTATTTGTCTATGACATAACACTCATTAAATACTCCATACTCCCACATATATTTGGATATTATTCATTAAGGGGTTTAATTACATTTGGACAAACTGTGCCGTCAGTAAAGGGAACTAAGTGCACGAATAGCTCAGCAAAGACAATAAAGAGGCGCTCCACATTCCCAGCATTTAAGGCACATCTTGAACAGTGGTCTTATGTTATGTAAATTAGCAGGTTTGCTAGGTTTGGTGTATTGATGTTTGTTAACATGTGTTGGCTGCTAAATAACCACTGAAATCTTTACTCTGATTTTACAGTTATAACACAAAACTTATTTCACTTTTCATTATCTGGATTTATCAATTTTTACTGTAAAATCTCTCAGAATCCTCCAAATTTAACTTTCAGAGACTCAAGTAAAAACTACAAATAAATAATTAATCCGTTCACAATAAAATCCAACAGGAAGAAGCAGAAATTTGTCACAGTTTAGAAGCTTTGACCAAAAAATGTTCATGCATAATGTTTGCCAATTTAGCTTAAGTATACAAAAACACATTAAATCGGCTTTTCTGCCACCTGAAGCAAACACACTTCTTAGGTAAAACAACACAAATCGATTCCTTATAATGAATCCTGGAAGGAAATTACCGACACTACAACTACACTTTTTTTTCTCTGTGCATTTTTTGTTAGTTTGGGTTTATTTACTCAATGCACTGAATTCTTTCAAGTAAAGCAGCTCAGACTCATTGCCTTTCTCGTGCATGATGTCATTGTGCTCTCATGAACAATCACCCCTCAAAATCTGTTGGTGAGGCAGGAGAAACACTATTACAGACATGTTAAACTACCCTCATTGGACCCCAGGTCATCAGCTTGAACAGGCTTTGAAGTAGGACAAGAAGAAAGAAAAACAGACCAGGTTGGTGAAGTAGTATCCATCCTCTCCGGTCATCAGCCTGCTGGGGTTGCAGAATCGGGTGATGTACTGGATGTTGGACTGAAGTCGTGGAGGATTAGCCTTCAACACGATGTAAATGAGCGCGGGGAGAAAGTCGTCGGCGGACGCCGGCTCGTTCTTGGTGATCCTAATAGCGCTGAAGATGTGTTTACTGCAGTGTGTGATGCAGGCCAGTTTGTCCCGAGGAACCCTCTTCGAATCCATCTCAATGATATCTGGAACAGACCAAGATTCGCTCATGAAGGCTGAAACAAAGAGCTAATCAGGTCACACGTTTATTAAGTAAAACTTATTTGTTCTGCTCTGGAGGTAAAATATATATAAGGATGATTTACAAATGACTTATTTCCATCCTGGCACTTAAAGAACATTATATATTCACAGCAGAGCGTCTGTCTTCACCATCTGCAGCACCAGACGTCGCACGGCGCTGCCAGATCAAATCCATTAGCAAGTTAAGCTCATTTCTACACATGAAGGATGGATGGAGCGACTGTTTGAAAGCCATACAGCTCAGTTTTAAAGACTACAAAGACAAGAAAAACCTCTTCAAAGGCAGACAAAAGGCTGCTTATTTCTCAAAGGAGAACATAGAACAAAGAGCAGATATACACTCTTTTTCCACAATATTAAGAACACCTGCCTGAAACAGCCTATGTCCCCTCTGGGCTACAAAAACCATCAGGAGGTGTCCTGTGGCTCATATCCGTTGGGATAGGACCCTGTAGATAGGCAGTGGCTGATAGGCTTAACTTAACTGTGTGAAACTGTCTCTGTTCTTTGGATTATTGAACTTTAGCAAATGATTAAACTTCAGATAAAAACTCACTAGGTTTACAAGAACAGCCAATCAACTGCAATGCACACAGCATTATTGCCTCAGGCCCAAGATGGAAAGGTTGCCAGCGTCATTAAAGGGGGCAAGTTTCACTGACCCTATCGCCCTTCTAGATGTGTGTGGATGCACTGAGCGGGACAAAATGTTGTTTATTTGGAGTTTAAACAACAGAAATGGTTAAAATGTTCAATAAACTATATTTTCTGACATAATTTTGTAATATAATGTATACTTTATTTATCCCTGTATAGAAATTACTCTCTGCATTTAACCCATTCACTCTAGCGAAGCAGTGGGCAGCCAATCCAGCACCGAGGGAGCAGTGTGTAGGGACGGTACCTTGCTCAGGGGTACCTCAGGATAGCCATTCAGTGGATTTTAACCCCCGACCTTCAAACCACTCTACCTACTCAGCTATCCCTGCCCCTAATTTTGATAAATATTTGCAGACATTGATGTAAAGATGTGCACAGTCAGGATTTCTCAGTCTGCACCTTTTCCCATGCTGGATCACCTACAATTTTAATAAAAGACTCATAAATGGAGTAAATGAGTCAAACTAAATTTAAGTGAGTCTAAGCAGTGAAGGTGAACCCTCATGGACTGCTGGCACATCTGTGTGTGAAGTTATAGACATGTTATAAAAAGGCATAATTCACAGAGGTCAAAGCCATGTTTTGTAGGTGGCTGTAAATATGGTTTTTAATGCTGTTAACTTTTAAGATTTTAACATGGGAGTCTATGAGGACAGAGCCACTTTTGGAGCCAGCCTCAAGTGGCCATCAGAAGAACTGCAGTTTTTAGTTTGGGGTTCTAATTCACATTTTCAATCACTTTCAGTAGCAGGGTTTCAGACCGTCAAGGCCTTTGCCTTTGACTGCAACGGATCCCTACAGGAGAGATGGCCCATATTCAGGTGGATTTATACATTTCGCTTCTGGAGATGGATGGATTGCAATTCAGGGAGCTTGGAAGCTCTTCATTGTGTTTCTCGAGCTGTTCCTCAATATTTTTCTGCAGAATGGCGGGGTCTATTATCTTTCTGGGGTAGGCCACTGTCTTTAAAGGATTGGGAGTCATTTCTAGGTTTCCAACAGCATGTACCAGGCGGGTGACAGATGTCCACTTGACTTCCAGCACCCAGTGACTCTGTGGTTTGTAACCATTTTCTGTACAATTTTACTTGGATTTTTAACTCCCCGAAACTGTTTTAATGAGGACACATTGTGTGTGGCAGAAACAAGTGAGGACAGCAGTGATACTCATGACCAATCATTTATCTGATGGAGTAAAACATTCACTCTTTTTTAACTCAGATTTTGGTCTCTGTGAAGTTCACGACAAAACTGCAAAACGACAGCACCGCTAGGATCAAGCGCAATCAAACAGCACGTCTGAGCGCTCGCTGACCTGTTATCGCTTTCACCACATTCTCAGAGACTTCCGGGATTTCTTCATCCATGGACACACAGAGCATCTGGATGGTCACCCAGTGCAAAGCCCTGCAACACAGAGAATCAGAATCAGAGACAAAAAAAAAGGCATACAAACATTGTGTTCATTCACGTAAGCCTGACACTCTTATTTTTTGTATTTTGTGTGTCTACATATGATGTAACCATACACATTTGTTACAGTCACTTCGCTCCAGGGTGACAAACACATCAGACACGTGCAGTCAGCAGCTGCCACTGTGCTTCCAAATGTAAGAAAAACACAGCTAAAAATGGCTATTGTGTAATCAACTGCACAGACTCAGAAAGCATTCAGACTGAAGTTTTCACAGGCGGATGAAGATTAAAGGCGAGCGCTGTGCACTGAGGCTTTCTATTCACCAGGCACACACAGCTTACACATAAAAACCCCATGTTTGCACAAAATCTAATGCCAAAGCCAGGAAAATCCACAAAAATGACAATGTGACATAAAATATTATATTCTAAAAACACCAGGCTGTGCTGAGTTGTTCAGTCCAGGAAGAACCACCTTATCCTGTTCTGTGTGGCCAAGTCCTTCCTCTCGTCATCAGTGGTTTCTGGACAGAAAACGCTCTTGTACAGACGAGTCATGATGTACTTTTCCACTTGGTCCATCACCTGCTCCACAGACTCAGAGGAGCCTGGTGAACAAAGGCACATTAGAGCATATAAAATACTGTTTGTGCTGCCATCTAGTGGCTTCTCAGACTGTTTGCGTTGAGAATGTCTTAATGATTGTTTTAAATACTTGAGGTAAAGTTGCAACTTCTGCAATCCTACCTTTAAAGTGAGTCATCAGGCGGTCGGCCAAATTCTGGTAGAAATCTTGAACGCACTCTGACAGCTCATCAGCACCCAGGTCCTGTTGACAAAAGACCTTAGAAGGTTCTTCGCGTGGAAAGTCATGGAAACATTCAAAAGTAAACGACTGGTGTCATTGAGTCAATGAGCGTCAGAGTACGTCGCACCTTCTTGCTTGACATGTTCACGAGGAAGACTCGGCACTGCTTGTGGATCTCCCGGCCGGGCTTCTGGAGGTTTTTCAGGAAGTCCACAAAGTCTTTGGACACTTGGTCCGTATCGAAGCTTGCGTGGCGGCTGATGGACGGACTGGTTTTACCTTCTTGGGTTTCTAGTTAGGGAAAAAAAAAATCAAGTTTAAAATAAAACAATAATTCTCCCCCCAATAGGTGTATATGTGTAGGTACTTCAGATAAACATGTATTACTTACTCTCATCATAGGACACATAACTCCCTACGCAGCTGTCATGCCACTAAATAATTGCAAGAATTACCTCTTCAGAGCAAAATTTTTAAATTTCACAGCAAAACACCAAAAAATGTTTTTGTCATTTGTCACAAGTTATTATAAATGCTGTGCAACATCAAGTGTGGATGAAGGAGTGCCCCCCCTTACACCATCAGAGGAACTCAGGACACTTGTAATGTCCATTCACTGAACACTGTATTAAGTACAACTTAACTTAAAGAGATTAGACTGTGAATGGATGGAAGTAATTGGCAACAATACTCAGCTAGGCTGTGGGCTTTAGATGATGCACAGTTGGTACTAAGGAGCCCAAATGTGTGCCAAGAACATATCCCGGACACCGGACACATCCTGAACCACTGATACAGGGCTGGGTGGTTCATGCTTTCATGTTGTTTACACTAAATTCTGACCTTACCACACGCCACAGCAGAAATCAAGACTCACAGACCAGATAACATTTTTCCAATCTACTATTTTTAAAATTTTGGTTAACCTATGTGATTTGTAGCCTCAGCTTCCTGCTCTTAGCTGAGAGAAATGGCAGTCAAGGTGGTCTTCTGCTGCTGCTGCAGCCTATCTGCTTCAAGGCTCCACATGCTGTGAGCTCAGAGATTCTCTTCTACAATAACTATTTGAGTGACTGTTGCCTTCTTATCAGCTCAAAGCACTCTGGCCATTCTCCTCTGACTTCCTGCAGGATTTTCTCCTTTTCAAACTATATTTGTTAAACCCTAGAGATGCTTCCAGCAGATCAGCAGGGTCTGAAATACTGGCTCATCTAGTACCAACAACCATCCCACGTTTAAAATCTTTTAAATCACCTTTCTTCATCCTTCTGATGCCTGGTTTGAACTTCAGTTGTTGTTATCCTCTGACCAACAACTGCATGATACCCCTAGAACAACAACATCTGTTTCCACCTTAAGATTTAAAAACAAAGGAAAGCTATAAACATTTAAATATTACTTTCAGGTTCTTTTAACTGAATGGACTGAGAAAAACAGCAATTCTCCTCAGCTTTGGCAGCCAAAGCAAACTAAGCTTTATGCAAACTAAGACATTTTTTAATGTGGCAAGCAGCTGGGTGCTCTGATGACAGGGGAAGAATATAGATGTTGTTCTTAGGACAGAAACCACTTTCTAAAGTCAGCATGTGCTTCCCGAAGTCTTCATTTTTCTTGGGACCTCCAGCTGTATATTAAACCACCACTGATGACTTATCATCAGTAACCATCCTCATTTGAAGAGCTGTTATCACCACAACCTTCCACCGTAATTTCTTTTTACAACCTCCTGCAGTTGCTTATTATTGGCATGGACGTGGTAAGACACTAACACCAATATACACCTAATCCCAACCCCTGACTATTTCAGGCTAAAGCATGCAGCTGCGAGTTGATCAACAAAACACTCACAAAGCACCCCAAGTGCACACACATTGATGTTAATGAATGTGATACCTTTTTTAGAAGCAGTTCGTGACGAAGGGCTGAAGAACTTCTTGACGGTGGTCACTTTCCGAGTCTTTTCATTGGTTTTCTTCTCCTCAAACTTGGAGAAGGGACCCAGCGAGGCATGTCCAGGCTGCGGGGGCGTTGTGGACTGAGTCTGCACACCGTGACTGCTGGCATACGCTGCCTCCTCCTCTCGTTGCAGCCTGGAACCAAGCAAAGTTGATTAGAGGGGAAACAATAAGCTTGCAATGAGCACGTCTGTTTCTTTTCAAATGAATGCACCTGGTGATTTATAAAGTGGTTCATTCATTAATGGAGCTATTTAGCACAATGTTCTGTGTTTCTGCTTTTAGCCTCTCTCACACTTTGCTTTCCTCTGGAGATGTTTGAGGACTGCTAAAGGTCTTACTTTTCTGCCAGTGCCCAGTCATCCTGGATCTGTTTCTGCCGTACCCGCTGGTACTCCTCCCTCCAGCACTTTGAGCACAGGCCCTGCCAGGCTGCGTTGCCATAGTAACCACATCCTTTTTTGCACAGCAGGTCTGATTGGTCCACGTGTATCCCCCGTCGCTCCGTCCGCTGACTCATAATGCTGGACGACACGGGATGAAAAATTCATCATCTGATTTATTAGTGTGTTTGTATGCGCTGCTGGTCAGACCCATCTCCCCGCTGCTGCCTGCTTATGCAGCTCAGATTATTAAACAGTTTACACACACAGTTAAGGCAGGAATAACATGCCAGTCCAGCAGCGCTACACTAATAAAACTCTGCAATAAAAATGGAACGCTCTAATTATCGAGTTCTTTCGTAACACTCAGACACAGACTAAAATAAAAACAGTCTTAATACACACTCTTCGTAACTCAGTTTCACTTTGTCTTTCTCCTCTCCTTACTTCCTAGCATCCATGATTTCTCCCACCTTTTCCTGTATCTTAGTCCATCACAGGAAAGTTGAGAGAAATCAAAGGATGAAAAGTTATTTTAGCACCCTCTGGTGAATTTTTGATAATTTACAGTTTCTATTTTTACCCATATATAATAACTTCTAAGCATTATTTTTAATTTTCTGTTTGATTAGTATTTGCTTATGCAATTAACCATAGACTGTATATAAAAGATGGACCTGAACCCTATGGCAGAGTGCCTTAAACCTGCAGCTCTTCTAACAGCCAGCATGACCTGCAATCTGTGTCTCAAACTCGTCTATCTAACAGTATTATTATTCATGATACAGAGAATAAAAGCCTTGACTTGGATGAATGCTAATTATTTTTTCACTGCAGTGTGGTTTCAGACCGTGCTTTGAAAAGATTTTCTATAACCGAGACTTTAAGTGGGGATTAGCTACTCAAGAGGTGTGACTAAAGGGACACATACCACATTTACCACTGTAACAACTTCCATGATGGATCTGAGTGACTATCAATGTGTCAAATGTCAGCATGTACACATTTCTGCTTGTTGTTTAAATAGTCAATGTATATTCGCACTAAGCAGCAGGCAACCATAATGGGGTTGGCGTTGGTGCCTGAGTTTGTATAGTAAAACATTCTGAACTTCTTAAGAAGTTCAGAATGTATCAGAATAATTAAAGTAAATATTCTGCATGTCACCTTGATGGGAATCAGTCTAAAATTGAGTTTCACTTTTAGGACCTGCGATCCTGACAGCAGATAAACCCTAACCTGCCTTTAATTCATGGCATTGTTCAAAAGAAACTTTGGTCTGTGACGCTGTAGAACACAAAGCCAGTTTCACTTGTTTATTACCTCTAACTATGACCTAAGAGTTACCTGCTCCCCAGTATGAAGATTTGCATGTCCTATTCATAGTTTTACAGCTCCAAGAGCAGCAGGTGAAAAACAAGCTTAGTCAGCATCTAATGCAGCGAAAGAATAGAGAATTATAAAGAACAAAATGTGAGAATACACAAGGAGGAAAGCCAGAAATCACTAGAAATACAAAAAGCTACACAGACGACACAACAAAGGAAAACTGAGAATAAAACTGAAATAAGATTAACTTGACTTGAACGAAGAAAGAGGAAGGCAGGGGAACGCCTAAAGTCAAAAGACAAACAGACGAGAGAAGGAGGAAGTGAATGAAAACACAAAATGGGAACTAGCTGAATACGACCCTCAGTTACAGGTAACTAAAGCTAACGAGTCTAAACAGATGTAAGAATACAGCGTAGCTCAAACCATAAACAGCCCAAAGAGCAGATCAGAAAATAAAAAAAACACATTTAAACTTCTAGATACAAGTAACTAAATTAAAGCAACAACTCTACAAGCAGTAAATTAAGTACTACCTGGAGCAGTGTTTCCCAACCACTGTGCTGCAGCACATAGGTGTGCCATGAGAAATGATCAGGTGTGCTGTTTCCACCTGATTAGTGCTCTAAGCGACCGGCGTGAGTAATGGGCAGAACAATTACACTGTCTTCGACTAGAGGGAAGCACAACTGAAGAAGATGAAGAAGAAATTACATAATAGTCATGCTGTGAGTGAGACAGCACAGCGTGTAATAGCAATAGATAAATATTTGAAAAGAAAAAGTAGTCAATCTGACCTGGGTCCTGGAGAAATTCCGACCCAGATGAAGGCCTTTGCATGAGTAGCGGTCAAAAGAAAAACAAAAAGGTATACTGGAGACAAACCGAGTCAATTCCGCTATACCTGATGCGCAGGGGGAAAATGATCAATATGCTTTTTGTGATATTATTGTTTGGTGGTGTGCCGTGTGTATTTTCTAATGTGAAATATGTTCTGTGGCTCCAAAGGGTTGGGAAACACTGACCTAAAGCATAGATATACAGACGACCCACTCCAAAGGTGAACCTAAAATGCAAGGCTCTAATGACAGGTTCTCAGAATCAGTAAGAATCATGAGCTCCCAAAATGCAGGGAACACGACACTGCAGGCAAAAGATGGCTGCAAATGACAATATGCAGCAAAGTGGAAAAACACTCATCAAAGCAGGCTGTTTTGTTTGCTATGTAGGAATCTATTGTAGTGGAATATCTATTCATTCTTTTTTTTTTTTTTAAACCAACTGCCTTTTGTTCTGTTGCTTTTTTGACATTATCTACTAAACTAGGCGGTGCTCACGCAAGGCAATCACACTTTTAAGGTTGTAGCACATAAACTTTGGAACAGCCTTTCTCAGCCTATCAGGTTCTATCAGGAATGTTAAACTTGCTAAAAACTCGTCTTCATAGGTTAGCTTTTCTTCATTACTGTCAGTTAAGTCAAATGGCACAGCAGGCCAAATAGCACTAAGTGGAAGTGGAATTTAATAATTTAACCAGTATTATTACATCTGATTGAATTACATCAGTCTGAAAACATGAGAATGAGAATATTGCACATATTACAGCAATTTTATTTGTTTCAGTTCTCACTTTGTTCAATTTAACTTCATAATTATTCTATAAATGTTGCATGAACAGCAGTAATAAATGATAATGGGATCGCTGTGTTTCCTGAATTATTTCTGCATAGGAAATAATTCTTTGGGTTTTTTTTTTCGTTTAGCAGATGATGCAAATACAGAAACTACTACAAACTAAATTAAAACTAAAGTGAAACACGTGAACTCACACAGAACCTAGCTGAAACTAAGAAGATGTAAAAGCAAAGATTTTAATAATAAAAATTAAAACTAATGAAAAATGCAGTGTTCGAGTCCTCTGAGCAAGCATTCTAATACATCAGAATTACTGTTACCTATGATGTCATGTACTCAATTATCTATATTAGTCTAAGCATCCACTGGATTATTGTTGGTGGTGATGTTTTCCTCCAGTTCACAGTTATCCTATCCGGTTGTTCAGTCTGACGTCACTAGCCGTGTCTGGGTCTAAACTCCGCTGCACGTCCATATATCAAACGATCACTATGGCATTACTGAGAGTTGAAAAACTGTCTAAAGTCTTTCATCTTTAATAAAATGATCAGCGTTCTGCTCAGGTGTAACAATTGAGTTTAACATCCAGGCATCCATAAAAACGGAATTTATGACATTTAACAGAGTTAGAAGCTAGCGAGCTAACTTCTATCTAAATACAATATAGCATGTCCTGACTGCGGGGTTTTGGAAACAAATTAAAACGTACAGCTCTGTTATCACTTCCAGCATAAATGAAGACAGAAAACTAAACAGCAGTGACGTTTGTAGGGTTACTGAAGTTGGGCTAGCTGGTATATAATGATGTGCTGTGTGACCGCTAGCGACACAGCTACGTTAGCATAATATAAACAAGCTAACTTTTTTTCCACTCGATAAAAGTTACCGTGAGTGTTCTCGGTGGTCAGGAACAAATGTAATCGCATGGCAGGATGCTGTAAAAGGACCAAACTTCAGCCAGGAGAACAACTGAGATAATCCATCCACAATACGAGGTTAGTCATTCATATACTGCTGCATGGGCTGGGCTGTAGTTACATCCTAAGGTTTTAAAAACTGAGCTTAAAATAAAATAAATGATTAGCGGTAATAAAAGCCGAGGGAGATCAACAGTGATCACTGACTGTTTTAGGAGCTTTTTGAGATCAAATAGAAGAAAATACATAACATTAAACATGTTAACAACACAAAAGCCATATTAAACGCAGACTACTTTAGACCCGGAAGTAGAATTCGTCGCGTCATCACTGAACAACCGGATAGCGCTCTGAGGAAGTACAAACACCATAGGAACATAGTAACAACTGCCAATATCCCCGGATTATTGGACAGGCCCAGAATACATGATCCCCAATGAACCTGCAGCTCCTCCAATCTTTATCTGATGCTGAGACCTGAGAGTCTCTAAAAACTCTAATTTATTCTTCCAATCAAAAATTTTCCCATAGATTACTACTAATACCTTTGTGACAATTCATACACATGTCCACCCGGGCGCTGTCCTCAGTGGACACACTTAATCCAAGCTCGGGGTCTAAGGAGCTGGAAAGAAAAGCGTCTGGACTTCTCTAAGTTGCTTGAAGACGTTTCACCTCTCATCCAAGAAGCTTCTTCAGTTCTAGGGTCAAATGGTGGAGAGTCCCAGATTAAAGCCCTATGCGAGTGTCCCCCCAAGACAGACATGGGCCCCCTGTTGATCCTCTACTGAATCACAGGAGTCCAGGTGTGAAAATGGGTGTAGGTCACAGTCAGCTAAGGTTTCAGGTGAACCCGCTGTGAAACCTAGCCCCACCCTATCATTAATCCAAGCTCCCACTTTTCTTTTATATTGAGGCTGTTTTCTATTTATAGCACATCACACATGTAAGTGTCCCAAGTCCCAAGTTGAAAGTGTGTGTGTGTACACACAAATTAATAAATCATATTGACCTACTAATAAGAATGAGTACTTTAACTCTTTAAGTATATTTTGATGCTAAGACTGATTAGCAGGGTGTGACTTTTACTGGACTTCTTATTGCACGATCTGATATCGTGGTATTGGTGTTGTTCCCAGATCAACATAGTAAATGTTGTTCCAGGATCAACATTGCAAGTGACCAATCAGAATGTTGTGACGTCATACTTTTGCGACTTCAGGAAAAACCGCCATAAAACAAAAAACTGTACTTAAGCTGCGAGAAACCGCCTCTGTCCGCTGATCAACGGACCCTGACCCTAACCCTTTAATAAACGCTAAGCAGAATTGATATTGTCCTTGCAACACTGGAATTTCATAAATGCACGAATGGCTTGGCACGCCAAAGAATAACGTCACAACAATGAGATTAGTCACTTGCAATATTGATCTTGGAACAATATTTACTATGTTGTTCCAGGATCAACACCAACGCGACGATATCAGATCATCCACTTCTTATTCAAGACAAAACAATGTTTAAACTCTTCTGCAGGACACAGGGCTGCAGCGGTTTCCACATCTGTTTTTCTCCTGATCAAGCATTTTGATTTGCTGTGGGCCCCCCACTGCCGTGATCCTGGGCGCTGCCCTGTCCATTACAACCATAAGAGGGCCATGAACGCTCTTGCAACTCCCGACACCCCCCAGCTGCTTCTTTGTTCCAGCTTCCAAAAGACGGTTTGTTAGTATTAGTATTTATTTATTTATTGTCATTGTCAAGAACAATGAAATTGCGTTTGGGGCTTCCATACAACCCAAAAAAAAGAAGAAAATAATAAATACCCCTTAAAACCCAAGTGTACATATTTAACCCAGTGTGACTCCAATGCAATAAGACAATCCTTGGCAATAATGTTCGTAGAAATTCAGACAAAGACCTGAGAAACATGACAAAATACAACAATGCAACCCATTCAATATTATTGTACTGTGAGATATGATATCAGATATGATAGTTATCTATTTAAGAAAGGGGGGGGGGGGCAGGAGGGGGAAGAGAATAAAGATATGATGCACCAATGCAGACCAGTTCATTGCTATTAAGAAGTTGGATATGGTTATTGTCCGTGAGAGGGGGGCAGAGAGTTCAGGAGCCTCACAGCCTGTGGATACAGGCTGTTGGCCAGTCTGGATGTTCTGGCCTGTATAGACCTGTACCTTCTCCCTGAGGGCAGCTGTAGCTGGAACCGTTATTACGTTCCAGCTACAGCTTCAGGGCAGATTTAAAGCTCCTGAGAAGTTCAAACAGTGAAGAATGACCCGCCTTATGAAAATGTTTCGCTACCCTGTATTTTTGTATCACCCAAATCTCTCACGGGTGGTCGATTTAGCTAAGATCAGACCGTCGCAAATACACACAAAACAAGTTTCAGCCCTCCTTCAAGTCCTTAAAGCTTTCAATCAGGTTTCCCTTTCAATTTTTCTGGAGTCTGGAGGTCATCGAGCAGCCAGTCCAGCTGTGTTTTAACGGCCGTCGCAGGAAAATAAGGCAGCTAAATAAAAATATTACTTGTTTTGTTACTTTTTGAACACGCCGTGTGCCCGCTGTGCCGATCAGGTACTCACCTGTTTGTGATTTCACTGTCCAGGAGCTGGAAACAGACCTCCGCCTCCGATGCGTTTGTGCCCGGTATGCTGACCAGACCGTGAGGGTCCGGACGACTACGTCATCACGCAGACAACACGGAAGTCCGGCAGCTACGCGATATCTCATTTTAACTACCCAGAGCGGAAGTAGAAACGTACAAGACTCTCCTAACCAAGGATTGTGGTTAGAGTGCCTTCGGTTTCAGATGGAGGACTTATTTTAAAGGATGGGTTATTGTTGTCATATTGATGAACAGGCTGAGATCATACACAATATGCAGTTTCGACTTTCTCACTTTTCGCGCACCCATTGACTCTCTCGTCCTTACATGTTCATTGTAATTTACACCTCCCAGAAGAAAGGCGCAAAACCTTCACATAAAGTGTTCTTGTAAGTTAACAACAGATCTGAAACTAAACATTTTGAACTTGGCAGACCCCTGGGGTACACGTCTGAAACCGTTTACATTCATGTTTACAACAGTTGCCTCAAAGCGCGTTAAGGCAACTGTTGTTGTGATTTGGAGCTCTAAAAATAAAATTGAATAGAATATGAATTCAATATAGAAACGAGACTCTGCATGCTTGTGGAACTGTTATGTATAATTTGTCTGGAAGAAAGCTTCTTCTCTCGAAAAAGTACATCATAACATCTGAGCAAACCGGACGTCGTGGGGTTTCTTGGCCAAACCATTGAAGATGTTTGGCCATAATGTACAGCACCATATTTGGAGAAAACCACAGCATTTCAATGCAAAGCTCTTATACTGTTCCTCTGTTATCTCACTTCCCATTTTATTTTGGTATGGGAAGTGAGATAACAGACGATCTCTCTTCCACTTTGTCCTCAATTTTATTTCTAATGTCTCATTGTCTTTGATTAGTTTCACCTGTCCGTTGTTCTCCAGCTGTGCTTCATCGTCCGGATTAACCTTAAGTGTTTTCTGTGATTATTAATAGCCCTTAATTCCCCCTTGCCAGTGTCTTAATTTACCCTGCTTGTTGTTCTTGTGTGTCCCTACTCAACAGTCATGCTTTTGCCCTGGAGAAGTGTATTTGGGACTTTTACCTTTGATCTTTAATAAAGATTTGTTTTTTTGTTTATCTTGTTTACTTTGGAGTCCTGCATTTGGGTTCTGGACTGCACAGAGTACCATAAAAACTTTAAACTCAAGACTTTGAATATTATAAACGGAAAGACTGAAGAGAAATTTAATGTACGGACTGTATAGAGAAAGTATGCTGTTCATTCTGTATATGAAAAATATAAACAGAATCTTGAGGAGCTTAAACAAATGGGCAAGAGTCTGTTGTCACTTTCCTAGGCCCAGCCAAGAAGTGCTGTTAGCTAAATATTAGGACTGAAAAATGAGCTTGGTGGTCTTTGGTATGGTCTTTTATTTGAGCCTCAGACTTTGCCGAAGGGCAGCACAGTAAATTCATCCCAGTGAACCTTGTTTATTGACATCGAGGTTAATGATCAGTGTCTGTGTCTAAATGTCGATCTAATTACAAAAGAGCTCAGATTTTGATTACGTTTATTTATTGACCTTTAAATAAACCTGGCACTTCTGACTTCTGGAAGGCTAGATTTAAGTTTATCAAAGCTCTCAGGCATTTTATCATTTTCAGCACTTTCAAACAAAGCAGTCAGGTACAAGGAATTTAAAAATATTTGTCTTGAAAAAGAGAAAAAGAGACCCAATCTGAAGCTAAAACAAGACCAGATGGACAGAAAAATAAAGCCTTATCAGACTCCAACAGTGAGATAAACACGGCATGACATCCACTTAAGTAATCTAATCTATTAAAGAATATTAATGAGATATTGGTATAAAGCACAGCAGGATGATGTCATAACAAAATGAAATTATTGGCTTATATGCTTTAACCACATTGATTCCAACATAAAAATAATTCAACTATTCTTTGTCTACAGAAAAGATAAACTTTCCTCTGCCTTGAGGCAAGTGACTGAAGAGACTACCAATGAGAGTGAAGGGTATGATTGATTGACACATGAAAGGATGGTAGAGGGTTACCTAGGCCCCCACTTTCGGTGGGGATGCCCTGACAGGCATTTAATAAATATTACTCTACTCCTCTACTGCTGCCATGTCTTCTTCTGTCCCTCATTTGTCCAGGTTCCACAAGTGTTTTTAGGGACACAGTGCACACCATAGGATATGAGCTAACAGATCTTGTGGAATCACCTTGCTAGTCCAAAAATACAATTTATCCCTGTCAAATGTCAAATCTTTGGAATTTCTTGTAGATTCAACTAAAGAAATGTGAACAAAGTTTTTTTTTTTTTGAAGGAAGCAAAATGTTAAGAAATGAGATACAGTATACTGTGTGTATGTAGATAAAAGAGAAACAGCTCAAGCAGAACATTATATACAGAAAAATCACATTTAAAGTAACTTATTCTTTTTATACTGAATTTATACCTCAGCTCTTCAAAAGACACAAAAACCTCAGAGTTTTGATCATACAAATCTTAGATACAAACCATGAGAGGTATGGACTCCTTGCTTCTCTCCTTTTTGCCCCAGCAATAAAATCTATGAAAGATTTTTGACTTCAGTGATTGACTGAACATGATGAGAGTGATCTGACTACTGAGGTGAACCAGACTCAAAATCTTCAAGGATGAAGGGAAGTGAAACCAACCCACTGTTATGCTTCTCTTTAAGGGTACAGAAACTGCTTTCTTTGTAGAAATATAAATAGTTTGATGCTAAAATGAGCACCAAACCACCTGCTTCTGCTGTTCCACTCCTACTTCTGCACATTTAGAGACAGGAAATTAAAAAGCACACAAGAGAGTCACTGTTTGACTCAAACAGCTTTGCACCAACATAAAAAAGCTTTTTGTGCAGCTACATGTATGTGTGTAAAAACCTTGTTTTATTTGAGCAAATGGTTCGCTCATTAGTGTTTTTGCTCATGAGTTCTTTTATAGGACTGGCCGTGCTGATAACATCCTTCGGACTGGGTCAAATAAACACACAGTGGGTTAGAAACACTGATAACACTGAGCACACACAGACAGATTCAGCCATGATCCTGACGGGCCGCAGTTTGTGTCTTCCTTCTCGAGCCACCGTCCAGGAGCTCTTCTCGGTGGCTCAGGATGCCAGTATCATCCCTGATATCTCCTTGGATCCTGTTCTCACCACCTTCCTGTCGCTGGATTCGTCAGCAGCGTTGCAGCATCAGTACAACTTCTTACAGCGGAGCATGAGCATGGAGCAGCAGAGCACATTCAACCTCAACCTGACGGCGAAGCTGGGGGGCAGCAGGGTAACCTGTGGAGGAGTGGGGGTTGTTGCTCTGGCTCTGTCCATGCTTTTTGATCAGGTTGCTCAACAGGTATGTAAAACTGTTGCATTTTGTCTAATGTTAGTGTGAGATTATTTTTTATTATCATCACTTTCCCCCCTCTTTGCTGTGTCTGTGTTCCCACTTTCACTTTACATCCTGTTTTAGTTTGAAGGTCCAATCTTCATGTGGTTTTGTTGCCTTTTTACTTCCTACACTACCCCCAATATTATACCTTTTACATCCTTCTGTCTCTTTGGTATATCATCCTTTCTCATTTCACTGTTTGTACAACTATAGAACCCTCCTTCCACCACAAAACTTTATTTTATTCATATATTTTTTTATGTCATACATAATTACAAATGTTGACTTCCTAAATGGAACTTCTGACTCGAAAACAAGAAAATGAAATGAAATTTTGAGGTATTAAGTCAAAATTTTAGGTTTTGTTTTTAGGATTATAGTTTAACATTTTCAGTTTTGTTTTGCCCACCATAAATAAATAAATACATAAAATGAAAAACATTTTATTTTGGGTTAGGACATCTTAGTTGGACAGTAGTGCAATATGTGACCATTGCACTTTAGAAATGGCTCATGATCAAAGTAGCTATTCATTTTACTTGAATTTCTTCCTTCCTAAAAACTGTCCCTACATCTAGTTTCTTACCTCTTACCCTGAGCACACAGGGGAAAAGGGGAAGCGCCAGTTGTTTTAAGAGATTTGATCAGGCAATCCCATGTCAGTAATAAAAATGAACCACTGGGCTGCTATCAGTGCTTGTAGGGTGGGTGCACAGCAGCCGGCCTGCAGCATGTTTAGTTATATCGAAAAAGAAAAAACAACTATATTGACCCATTGGGCAAATGGCCGGTATGCCCGATTAACAGTCCAGCCTGGCTTCAGCCACCCAGCCCATGACCCTAAAGTGCATAAGTGGAAGAAAATGGACCGCAGACTAAACAGGGAGTGAGCAGAGGACTAACCAACCTTATGTGCTTGATAGTGTAATTAGATTACTTACATGAGTTAGCTATAAATATACTGGCAGTGGTTTAATGGTCTTGCAGCAGGAAGGTTCTGTTCTAAAACCTGTGGCATCTCCAAAGGGACAAACATTCAAATTCTGGGGCTTACATCTACTTTTGGAGAGTATTTTTATTTCCCTCCTGCACCAGATGTCTCAATTCCTAAAAGATATCTTGAGGACGAAGGAGAGTGATTGTGGATAGAGTTGTATCCTCTATGGAAGCTCCTTTTCTAAGCATTTGGAGAATGTGTGTCACTCTTTGCTCAAATGATGACTGCCATGCAGATACTTTACACAAATACTACCTCATTTTCTGTCCGTGTTTGGGCCAGCGTGACAGTTTGTGTTATAAACTGTGCTTCGTATTCCAAACAGGTCCGAGCACAAGGATCAACAGAGGGTCCCTCGTTAACTCAACCATCCCGGCTTAAGAGGATTTTTGGCATCAGCAGCTCATCGAGAATCGGCTGGATTATCCACAGCTTCCTCACCCTTATCCCAGGCATCGCCAACAACCAGGATCAGATGGCTGAGACCACAGAGCTCTACGATAACTGGCTGAAATTTGAGCTTCTCGACCATTATGATAGGATGACCACAAGGAAGAGAATGAGTTCAGCGTCGATGCAGCAGTGGCTGACAGGAGCTGTAATTCACCTGCACATGAGAATCCACCAGGTCAGAACAGATAGATGAAAACACGTCCAGCTCAGGTTATGATAGTATGTGTTTACTCTAGTGCATCGGTATGCCTCTACATTGTAAAATCTGCTTCGTATGTAGGTAAGTGTTTACATCCCATATTGTAGGTTCTTTCTCTCCCTTTAGATGATGGCACAAAACCAAAGCTACAGAGAGCTTTGAGTGGGAGGTATTGAGTTGATTTTAAAGCACTTTCCTCTTCCCACAGGCCCGTCTGCAGTCTGTGCCATTAGGATCAGTTGAATCAATGCGCATTTCTTATAAGACGGGGTTAGGTCACCTGGTTCGGGGCTATACAGCCTACCTACGCGCAAACATCCAGGAGACTCCAGCTCCTGGTCCACAAAAACCAAGAACCAATGCTGCCAACAGACCTAAACATGCTAACACATCTACTATAACCAATATGACATGCTCCAACAGCCTCCTTGTTAATGGTAGCCAGGTTGGTCTAAGTAATAAATCTGCCACACCCAGTTCAACTGCAGGAATTAACAGAGGCTGTAAAACTGATGAAGCAGGTGGAGACTTTGGATTTAATGTCCTAAATGGAAGCAATGACACCACGATGACAGGAGACACCCTCTACACTTCATCCAGATACAGCAGGACGGAGGATGGCAGCATGCTTGGACTGTTAGTCATCGAGCCCTCGAGAAACGTGAGTCACAGTGTGCAGCATCACCCCTGTGAGTCTCCAGCCATACAAGAAGCTCTGGTGACTCGAATAATCAACGTGCAGGACCTGGAGAGCAACGGAAATTTTTTCCTGTATGCTGACGGAGTTTTTCAGAGCCTGCTAAGGCAGAGGGATGACTTCGAACTGAGGACAAATTAGACAAAAACAAATATCTGATTAGTCAGCCACAAAAACTAACACAACATTGTTACAGCCAGAAAAGCACAATTGTGTTTCCTATTTTCTACCAGTGTATTAAACTGGGTCAGTTACCACATATATAAGACCCTTTCAATACAAATTTCGCATGAACAGTATGAAATTTTTCACATAATTTAGGAAACAAATGAAAGTGTTTTCTTCAAATCGTCATCAAATGTCAAATGTCATTTCAAATTTGAACAGACCCTAATAAAAAACCTCACATTTGGAAAAAAGAACTAGTGACAGTTCTTAAATGGTATTGATTATTTTTCACAATAATGCAAACACAAACTATGTAAAATACTTTGAACATAAAATTCATAAAATTCTTAATCATAAAAACTATGGAAATGCAATTTTAATTCAGCTCTATTGCTGGATTGAGTAAACATGACAAGTTGTACCACAAAAGCAAAACTATTAGATACTAGTAGATAGTGTAATCCAAAGAGAAGACAATAAAAAATATAGCACACATTGTAATAAATGAAACTGAGACTAACCTAAACAAAACGTAACATTGTATACGAGAAAATTAAACTGAAACTTAACATTTAATTAGAATTAAAACTGAACTTCAATGAGCAGTTTCCCACTGGAGACTACCTGAAATGAAACTGAACTAAAAACAAAACTTAACAATTAATAATAATAAACGCAAATAAAACTGAAAAAGATAGTGTGAAATTTCATTATCATTTACTGAGTTACTTTATTTTTAACGTAATTTGTTTACCTAAAAATATAAATTAATAACAGCGCGTACATCTGTGGAGGGGCATCACCACTCCAATTGTACAGTTGTAGTTCAGCTCCGGATGCAGCAGGAGGCGCTATTCAACAGTGAATAGTAGTGAACGCAGCTAAACGGGTAAAATGATTTTTCTCTCCTTCTAGACAAAAAAAGTGCACATTTTAGTTTAGTTTATGTAAGCATAGTATTCATAATATTATTATAATATCATGACCGGTTTTGCTTGTAAGACGCTATGATTCAGCTAATGCTAATTTCCCTAACAGGTATTTTATTACAAAAAATTATTTTTAAAATAATTATATTTAATTTCGTAAGCTCTTTCACCAAATCAGGAAAAAAACCAAACAAACCCTGAAATAACAAAAATGTTTGTTGCAGGAAATTTACGCAATTCATTCGCGGGATCCGCCTACTTTGACGCATGCGTGTGTTAATCGCGCCTTCATTTCCGTACACTAGCATGAACAGGAGCAACGAGGGTTACTGTGAAGCATCCATACAGCAGTTATCATAAGGTACGTGTTTGAATTTCTGCTGTTTGTTATTTGTCCATAATATTTTATTTCCCCCCCAGTAAAAAAACAACACCCAGCTACACTACGAGGCTGGCTGAGGCTGATGCTGGGAGGTGTCGCGCTAAAACAAAGTAGGAGAAAAAGTGTCAAAACGTTGTTGTACAGTCATTAACGTATGCCACGTTGTTAGAAAGTATGTGTAAGCTAAAGCTAATGTTGCTTACACTTACTGCATTGTGTTATATTTCCGCTACCAGCCGTTTAACATGGCTCTGTAAGCCACTACGTAGGTTAGCTCATATGCTACAGTGCTAACATTGTTATTGGGGCAAATTCCTGTGAGATTAGGTTTCAACTAGTAGGACAGTCCTCCATCTTTTTTGTTTTAGGTCGGGGGACCATGAGCTTCAAGCATTTCTAGTAATAACTCAGACTGTACCTGGGGTTGCCTGCATATATATTGGGCATCACCTCATGATTTTCAGGTGTCTTACATGCCCGCTCTCTGCGTAATGGCCTTACTATGATGGAAGACTAGTTCACCACACCCGGTAACTGGATGTTCTGGAAACTGCAGTTTGGTTCTCAGTATATTCCCAAGTTGTGTAAAAAATGAATCCTTGAGAGGAGACTGCACGAGGAAGTCTGGTTCTGTTAGATAACACTGTCAATTGTATGTGTGGGTGTGGTGTTTAAAATCTTACTGAGCAAACAAAAGGGCAAACTCAGCCAGGGATGGCGACAGAGACAGTACAATATTGTCAAAAAGTCCGCTCATTCATTTCTATTTTGCTGGTAACCAGACTTTTATTTTTAGAGTTGTCTTGAGTAGTAGTTTTCCAGGTTTTTCTTTGGATTATTTTTTCACTCATATTCAGTCCAGTTCTTGTACCTGACCACAGTGATATTTGAGAAGTGAAATGAAGTTTATTGGATTTACAGAAAGTGTGCAATGATTGTTTAAACAATCAGGCAGGTGCATAAATTTGGGCACCACAAAAAAATTTATGAAATCAATATTTAGTAGAGCTGCCTTTTGCAGAAATTACAGCCTCTAAATGCTTCCTGTAGGTGAGAGTCTTGTGGTTGAAGGTATTTTGGACCATTCCTCTTTACAAAACATCTCTAGTACATTCAGGTTTGCTTCCCAGCATGGACAGCTCTCTTTAACTCACACCACAGATTTTCAATAAAATTCAGGTCTGGGGACTGAGATGGGCACTCCAGAGCGTTGTACTTGTTCCTCTGCATGAATGCCTAAGTGGATTTTAAGCAGTGTTTCGGGTTGTTGTCTTGTTGAAAGATCCAGCCCCGGCGCAGCTTTAGCTTTGTCACTGATTCCTGGATATTGGTCTCCAGAATCTGCTGATACTGAGGGGAATCCATGTGTCCCTCAACTTTGACAAGATTCCCAGTCCCTGCACCGGCCACACAGCCCCGCAGCATGATGGAACCACCAAAAACCAACCACCAAAAATTTGAGACAACTTAAGTAGTGGAATAAGAAGTGGCAAGCCTAAAAAATATATCTATAGCGGATGAAGAATATCTGAAAGTCTTGGAAAACATCTGATTGGCAACGGCTTTATTTTTTAGTATGACAATGATCCCAAACACACTGCCAGTGCTGTAAAAATATACCTGGATAGTTTTTCACTTTGTGGTTTTCTATCAGTCTGCCAGTTTGGCCTTCCCAGAGCCCGAACCACATTGAGACAGCGTGGGATTATTTTAACAGAGAACAGAACAAAAGGCAGCTGACATTCAGTGAGATTGCAGGTTATGGTGTGATAGATTTTATTTTTTTTAAGAGCTTTTTTTTTCACATAATATCTAAATAGTTTGAACATTTTATTGCAGAGAGGTGGAGCCAAGCTTCATTAAATTGAACTAGATTTTCTCTTGTATGGTCAGTTGTGTTGTAGTTTCACTGTAATATAGACAGAAGCTTCTGCTTGTTGATTTGCATTCACTGAAGTAAATTCAAATCATCGGCAGAAATGTATTTACATCTTTTTAGCATGTACTGTAAAATTGGCTTTGGTGGTTGATGTGAATGTTTTTACAGAGCTGAACAAAATGTCAGATTCAGACTCTGATTCTGATAGTGGTGTCTTGGGCAGCACCAGACCACCTTTGGTGAGTTAAAAATCTTTTAATAAAATGATTTACTTATTTTATTTTTCTTTCCTTTATGTCACTGATTAACATTTCCCCCCTTTTGGTCACTCAGAAAATGGAAGATATGGTCATCACCTTTCGTCCATCAGGTAAGAAGCTGCCCAAACAGTTATAAGGAATTAACCCTATAATACTAATGTTGAGTGATTTATTTTTTTTCACCCACATGATTTTCATTGTTTTTTCTTTTTGTGACAATGTACATGGGGAAATGAGTACTTTTTTTTTGTCAGGTATTGTTGTAATTTAATATACTTTTATGGGAAGTGTGTTTTATCAAGTAAATTATACGTAACATTAGAGGTAATGTTTCAGAACTGCAAATTGGTGTTCTAGAATTAACGTTACATACTGGGTCATCATAATAATCTGATAATAACTGTGTTCTTTCATGTCATATACCAGCGGTCCCCAACCTTTTTTGCGCCACGGACCGGTTTATGCCTGACAATATTTTCACGGACCGGCCTTTAAGATGTCGCGGATAAATACAACAAAATAAAACTAGTACAGGTACCGAAAAAAAAGAAGATTTATTCATAACACACGTGAAAAGACCAGGAAAACAGAGTTAACGATAAAAACGATAACAAAATCGTGGCTCAAGAGTTGGGAGTTCGCCTTGTAATTGGAAGGTTGCTGGTTTGAGCCCCGGCTCGGACAGTCTCGGTCGTTGTGTCCTTGGGCAAGACACTTCACCTACCGCCTACTGGTGTTGGCCAGAAGGACCGATGGCGCGATATGGCAGCCTCGCTTCTGTCAGTCTCCCCCAGGGCAGCTGTGGCTACAACTGTAGCTTGCCCCCACCAGTGTGTGAATGTGTGTGTGACTGGGTGGATGACTGGGTGTGTAAAGCACTTTGGGGTCCCTAGTGGGGACTAGTAAAAGCGCTATACAAATACAGGCCATTTACAAAATAACGCTGAAAACCGATAAAAACCCTGAAAACCATACATTTCACAACTGAGCCTCAACTCTCGCGGTCCGGTACAAAACGACTCACGGACCGGTACCGGTCCGAGGCCCGGGGGTTGGGGACCGCTGTCATATACAATCAGTAATTTATTACATTTAATGTTGAGCAACCCTTTTAAATGACACCTTATGCAATAACTCAAATGTATAATATCATTGCTAATGAATAAAGTTCATGTTTTTACTTGCGTAAGTAAAAACATGCACTTACATTTTTTGACTCACTTGCATATTGCACTAATCTTAGAGCAAGGGTCACATCTTTGGTCTGCAGCTGCACATAGCCTCTTTGGTGTTAAAAGGGTGCTGTTTACTAAAGAGAGACTGTTAGTTTTGTCACTGAAAAGAATGAACACAGGTGATTTGACACTGACCCTTATATGCATTTGTAGGACTCTTCCTTTGATGAATTACTGTAGAATAAAGCAAATTCATCCCACCTGACCACCTCAGTTTTTCATAGAAAGATTTGGAGGCCTATAGAAACAATGTTTTCTCAGATAGAGGAGTGATGTGATATACCCGGAAATTATATACCCCGATGCAGCTGTTACAGTTTGCACCAGTTTATTTATCTAGGATAAGATAGGAGATGCTATCAGGACAGCTGTCTGGCTGATGTGGGTGGATGACTCAAACTGAGGGCGAGATGCCTCAACTTTGCATCATGTAGCTCCCCATTGAGTCCTCACCCTGCATGTTTAAAACACTGCTGGTGTCGTAGTCTTCAATTCTGTCTTTAGATAGTAGAAAGCAGGATGAGCCTGTACCAAAACGATGGGAAAATTGGAGAGTACACA